CTCTCTCTCTCTTCATATTTCTCTTTTCTATTTCTACCGCCGAAAATATCTCGTCGGAGCACCACCGCCACCGGAGCTGCCATTTTTATCATCTCTCTCTCTCTCTCTCTCTCTCTCTCTCTCTCTTCGGCTGGACCACCACTGATATCAACCTTCGCAACTACCCACCTCCCACTATCGATGCATGCTACCTTTTTCAACCTCCCTTCATTTCCGTTTTCTACATACGTCGTTGTTGCCCCTATATTGTTGCCCCCTGTGTCGCCACCAGCAACGTCGTTGCCACCTACATCGTCGGACGACCATCACTTGTATATGGTACTTCAGATAAAGGAAAACCCTAATACTATGGTTCCGAACCTCCGCCCAAACATGGATATGAACCTTCCTCTCCCCCACTATTCTAGTTCCTCGATTGACGGGCTGGCCAACCATCGACATCTGCTCAAGGCGAACCCTAGCGCCGTCGTCGAATGTGTTTTCACCTTGACCATATCGTCGAATAAAGAGAGAGAGAGAGAGAGAGAGAGAGAGAGAGAGAGAGTTCACCTGAGGTGGAGATCTGCTCGTCGGAGGAGGTGGACGTCGGTTTTTGTATATCTGTTTGTTGGAGGAGGTGGATGTCGGCGAATCTTGAAGGATCTGGATAGATGTAGGTGGTGGTGAATCTGGACGACAGTGGATCTGCACATAGTTGGATCTGGTAAGACGTGATTGGCGACAGCCAACGATGGCTGACGATGACTGACGGTGGTGTTTCTGAGTGGGGTGCGGTTGATGTGAGATTATTAAGGGGTGGTTAGATTATCTTTATCTTTGTTTTTTTAATCTTATAAATAATAAAGGAAATAAAAGAAAAAGGAAAAAAGAATCAGGAAGAAATTTTTATGAGAAGTGATTCGTACACAACAATTTTTTGCCATACACAACAATTTATGCATTATATAGTTGTACAGTACAACATTTTAAAACATCAAGAGTTGTGTATGGAGAAAAATGTTGTGTACATATCAGTTCCTAGTTTTTATGGGACCAAGTATATGATATTTAAAATTTGAACCTACTATGCACAAACAAAAAAGAAAATTGAACTCGGACTACATTTTTTGATATACTATAGGACCAATTTGCAATTTACTCATAACTACCCTGTAAATTGTAAAACTTTAAGGGGAAAGAATTATAGTTATCTCAAAAAGGGAAGCAAAAAGTGAAAATGTCAAAAACACGTTTCATCTCACCAAATGGCCCCACCACACCAGAAAACCAACCAACAACGGCGGGATCGGAACACCGTCCGTCGCCTTCGACATCGCTGTCACTGTTACTTTCCTCACCGGAGATTCCAACTCTCACATCTGCATTCCTTCAGATCAGATCTCATCATGAAGATTCTATGTTTGTTCTGAATCTTTCTTAACTGCTATACAATTTGGTAGGACGGTGTGTTTGGTGGTAGCTTACAGCTTTTGCTGAAAATTATGGCGGTTGTGGTACGGAGCGGCAGAAGCGGTGGAGGATCTGCGTCTTCCTCCGCCCCTCGCAACTTCTTTTCTTACCGGATCTTCGTCTCCGCTATGTTTACTCTCCTTTTCTTCGCCACCGCCTCCGTACTTTTCTCTTCCCACCCCGCACATTTCTCTGAAAACTCTGTAACTCTCTCTCTCTCTCTCTCTCTCTCTCTCACACACACACACACACACACACAATTCGCAACCTAGTACCTATACGTATTATTGTGATATAACAATACAGCATTTTATTGTTGTTCTTGTTTTGCAAATCTAATTTCTACTATGTTCCATTGATGCATCAGTATCTGAATTTTAAAATTGAGATGGCAATTCCTTAGTTCCGAAGCTGTTACTTACAATTTTGTTAAATTTATGAGTAATTAAGTCCGTTTCTGCACCACACATTTTTAATCTGAAGTTCCTGTTGGCTGTTGATAGAAGTTAATTATTCAGAAGTGCAAAATTTGTGCGTTAATCTATGATGGAAAATAATGCAATCGAAGTTACCATTAGTTAACGACTACTTTAAAATCATTAATCGTGATAGTGTGCTTTATGACGTAGGAATAAAGGAATTGGTTTCTGAAGTTCCTTTAATTGGTTTGATTGAAATCTTTCAGGGGATGCAGACAACTGGGCGAGCATACATGCAGAGGACCTTTCTAGCTTTGAAATCGGATCCATTAAAGAATAGGTTAGATTTGATGCATAAGCAAGCAAATGATCATATTGTGCTTGTGAATGCATATGCTGCATACGCAAGGAAGCTTAAGCTGGAGATATCCAAACAGCTTAAGATGTTTGAGGATCTGGCACAAAACTTCTCTGACTTGAGTATGAAACCAACATATCATACTGCATTGTTCGAGACGAACGAGCCATTAGATGAAGAAGTCTTAAGACAGTTTGAGAAGGAGGTCAAGGATAAAGTCAAGGTTGCTAGGCTGATAATAGCCGACACAAAGGAATCATACGACAATCAGTTGAAAATTCTGAAGTTAAAAGACACGATATTTGCAGTTCAAGATTTGCTAACTAAAGCCAAGAAGAATGGTGCATTTGCTAGCTTAATTGCTGCAAAATCAACTCCAAAGAGTTTGCATTGTCTTGCAATGCGCTTAATGGGGGATCGAATTGCAAATCCAGAAAAATATAGAGATGAGGAGCCTAAACCTGAGTTTGAGGACCCCTCACTGTATCATTATGCAATCTTTTCAGATAATGTGATTGCAGTCTCTGTTGTGGTTAACTCAACTGTAAAGAATGCGGAAGAGCCATGGAAACATGTTTTCCATATCGTGACTGATAAAATGAATCTTGCTGCAATGAAGGTTTGGTTTAAAAAGAAGCCAGTAGAAAGGGGTGCTTTTGTGGAGGTGAAAACAGTTGAAGGATATACTTTCTTGAACTCCTCATATGTCCCTGTTCTGAGACAAATGGAGTCCGCAAATTCACAGAATCTCTACTTTGGAGCAGCAAAAGATGCCAACAACAACATTAGGAACCCAAAGCATGTGTCAATGTTGAATCACCTTAGGTTTTACTTGCCAGAGATGTACCCGAAGCTGCATTGGATATTGCTTTTAGATGATGATGTTGTGGTTCAGAAAGATTTGACTGCATTGTGGAAACTTGACATGGATGGGAAGGTGAATGGGGCTGTTGAGACCTGCTTTGGATCGTTTCATAGATATGCTCATTATTTGAACTTTTCACACCCTTCGATTAGGGAAAAATTCAATCCAAAAGCATGTGCTTGGGCTTTTGGCTTGAATATATTTGATCTTGATGCTTGGAGGCGTGAAAAATTAACCGATAAATACCATTATTGGCAAGATCTGGTATGTCTCCTTTTGCTTCTGATTACAACTTTACTACTTGCTTCATATTCTTTATTTGTTTATTTAGGGAAATTAGCAACTTAGATTGGTATTATGAGTAAAAAGTAAAGTAAAAAGAGTAAAGTAGGTTGGTATTTGGTGTAAGTTGTGCTTTTATTGATAATGGTTGACAGAATGAAGATGGGGGTTTATGGAATTCGGGAATGCTGCCACCTGGACTAATAACATTCTACTCAAGAACAAAATCATTGGAGAAAAAATGGCATGTTCGTGGTCTTGGGTACAACCCGAGTATAAGCATGGATGAGATTAATGCTGCTGCTGTCATTCATTTCAATGGGAACATGAAACCTTGGCTTGATATTGCCATGAATCAGTTCAAGCATCTTTGGACTAAATATGTCGATAGAGAAATGGATTATGTGCAGTTATGCAACTTTGGTCTATAACTATAACCATTAAACAGATTCAAACTTTAACTAACTAAGGCCTGTGTCTGTCCAATTTTGGTAATTTTGTTACAACTTCTTAATAGCTATGGCCTATGGGCATTAGAAGCAAACCTCTTTCTTTATTCTTTTCACTCATCACTCATGTGCTTCTTACTTACTTCAACCAACATAAACTTCTTTCTTAAATGCCTCTTTTTTAATCAAAATCTCTCAATTTAACTTCTTATAAATGCCGATACTCAAATTATCCAAAATTCCATAAATTTAAAGTGATACTTCGCTCTTTGGGATATCATCGTTTCGTCGATAGCAGTTATTGATTCTTAGGTAGTGTTTGGCATGTGGGAATCGAGTAGGTAATGGAATGGTTGATTCCGTTTGGAATAAATAAATATACATACTTGTTTTATCTGATGGAATGAATGGACCATTTTTTGAGGAATGCAGTGTTTTTTTTATCAATCCTATCATGGAATTGAATGAGAATTCGCACTGTAACCTATTATTGTATCCATGCAATTTGTAATAACACAATTTAAAAACAAAAAAAAGTCCATGAATGTAATTAAATATGATTGTATTTTCTAAAATAGCTAGAAAAAAATTTTAATTTTACAAATAATAAAATTTAGTAGTTATAATTAAATAAAGTATATTGTAGAGTCGAAACTACATAATTATTGTGTTTTAATATAATAATATAAAAATCAACTATAGAACCTAGCAGCAGAAAAGTTGATTTGTCCTGTATGTCTTGATTTAAACATGAAATTTAATATATGTTTGACCTGATTTTAACTAGAATTTCAATATCTTGTTGACATTTTTTGAAGTGATGTGTCATTTAATTTTCTTGTCTCTGACTTTGAATATTCTATCAATCTAACATGTCTCCGATTTTATTGTATTATTTTATATATTAAGATCAGGCACTCAAACGATCACATGTGAAATCCTAATGAGTCTCATATGCCTTTCACATCTGTGCAAATCAAAAGCCAAGTCAATATTTGTCCTTGACACCATGTAACATGCCAAAGCAACGTCATGACTCATGAATATGAACTTTAATCACTATAGTAGATCTTGCATTTTAATTTACGTTTCTGAAAAATATCTTTTAAAGATATTATATCTTCATTTTAACTCTAAAAGGGTGTGTAATAATTGTACTTAAATAAAACTATAACATTTTAATAACTATCATTTGGATCCCAAAATAAATGCGGTGAAACATCTGTGTTTTACACAGATGATCCGGACATTTAGATCCACTTTTTCTAGAAGAACAAACAAAAAATGCGAATATTTTAGCAAATGTTCCATACGCTGTTCTTTACGTACTTTCAGTTTACCCCCTCATTTTTCATTACAGTTGCTATTTGCGTCTCATATTAAATTCGATCTTCTTTTTCTCATCGGAAGATTCAATTTACCTGCAAACACATAAATAGACTATATAGTTATTCTTATTTGAGTTGGCCTATAAAAGAATATAACATCTTAACTCTATTTGGATAGCTAACATGCATTCTTTGATGATGATAATTATAAAAGTTAATATTTGTTAAATTAGATTTATATTTTAATCATAACATTAAAAAAAATCTGAAAACTATGTGTAGGCATTAGAAACATCACAACAAGTCACTTAAACAATACTTCAAAAAGTATTTTGTCATCTATACATCCAAACAATACGTCTTAAAATACATTTTGGGTGTCGAAAATATGGTAAACAATACCATCTCCTCATCTCGACACTCCATAAATGGTCTTTTTATTTACACCTTAGTATACTAGAAGAAAAGAAGAGAAGAGAAAAGAAAAGAAGAGAAGAGAAAAGAAAGTAATGAGAGAAAACAAGAGAAAGGAAAGGAAAATAAAATTTTCTTTTGTGTTCCCGAGTTGGAGAGAAGTAGAAGGAAAATGAATAATTTTGTTCTTTCTTTCCAAATCCTCCCAAATCGGAAGGAAAGTTAGGAGGGAAAGTGATTCTCTCATTTCCCTCCATTTCCTTCCACTTCCCCCTTTAATGAAACTCGGGAACACCAATTTCTTTTATTTTCTTCTCATTTCCACAAATTTCCTTTCTTTTCTTTCGTTAAGTTGAACTCAGGAACGGGGTGTAAGATATGCTAAACATTACCCATAAATGGGCTTTTATTTACACCATATTCTATTTTCAAGATACACTTTTATCTAGAATTTGATTTTTTTTTATTGGGAGTCCACTTCTCTTTTCATGTTTTTTATAACTTTTTAAAACTTTTCATTTGCACCACCGTATAATAATTAGGCTAAAGTATATTTAACAATACCCTTTTCTAGTCACCTAATAATTGATTGACCGATTTAACCGTTATTACTTATTAGTGACATGACATCTACGTAACATATATTGAAAAAATCAATAAATAGGAGAACTCATCATCTTCTTTACTCATCCAATTTCTCTTACCAAAATTACTTTACTATTATTTTTCATAAGTTTCTATAGGTATCATTTATGAACTAAGCAAAGTAACCCCATTTGAGGTGGTTCAACATGTCATCGAGACCATCATATTTAATTATTTATAAATTATAATGGTTTCCAATTCTTGCACTTGGCTTGGATGTAAGAACATCATGAATTCATGATCTCGCCTCCCTAAATTTACTCAGATCAAATCCCTAACAAGTGCTCACGTTGTCGTTGCCATCATAATATCATATCAACACGTTTGATGCATCCGGACAAATACCCAATCACTTTACATAAATACAATAATATATAGTACCTATTGGGGAAACAATTCAATGACCTAAGTAACACAAATAAAAAGTATTCAATACGTTTTTTATTATTTAAATATTAAATCGACATAAGTTTCTATAAAACTTATCAGTTTTTTTTTTTCAATTTCCAGTACAAATATAATTCTAAAAGTCAGTACTGTGCAACACATCACATGCCTTTATCCATGACAAATTCCGAGATGGGACAAAATTTGTCATTATTAAAAAATATCACATGACATTCACAACTTTTTGAAGAAAACCTAGAATATGAGGGGGTTAAATGGGAAACATGTTAAAATAGGAGGAGGTAGATGGAAATAGATTAATAGATCGATGAGCTCACCAACCACCACCACCACCGAGGAGGTCAGAATTGACTCACTTTGAAGCCGCCCCAGAAGAGGACCTCGTTCTCTTTAAATACTCTTCTACTTTCCCAAATTCAGATCGTCTTCATTTTATTTCGATCATCAATTAACTTGCAGATCCTTTCATCGCGTTCATTCTTAGAAGGTATCAACTTATCTCTGAACTTCTTCTTTCTTAAATTTCCTCCGATTGCTGAAAGTTATTTAGATCCCTTGTTTTTTATCCGCATGTGCATTGATGTTTTTATAGATTGAACATGAATCGTTTCATCTATGGTTTCCCGAACTTGAGGACGTCCAGCGTTAGGAAATTTGGCTTTGAATAGCTATATGTTCAAATTCAAACCAACACTTAATTTATTTGATTCATTGCGTTTGAGTTTTCAACTCTTTGATTTTTAGGAAGTAGGAGCTACTAGCTCCCACTGTGATCTGAAATCTGCAGTAAAACTGGATTTGTGTTCGATTAGTAGTAGCCAGACTATATCGGATGTACTTTGATTAGTGAAGCGACCTAAAATTGGCGAGCTGCTCATTGTTGATCTTAGGATTTGAACCGCGTTTATGCATGTTTGTGGATTCTTTTCTTATTTGACTGATGTCCTCTTTTTGTGGTTGAGGTTCCTGTTTCTGAGCATGGTAGAGATAGAGGAGATTTGGGATTGCTTGATCATTTAGACTTCTCCTCAAATGATTAGAACTCGAAGGATCAATGAAATACCCATGTCCCCTTTATTTGCTGTGCATATTGTTAGCCAATCGAAAAAGCTAGTTTTAGCCCCTTTTAGCAAAGTATGGTATCAGGATAACATATCATTTTTGTTTTATACAATGAATAAATCTGAAATCATGTTTGATTTGCTAATTTTTATAATAAATCATTCTTTCGGTTTCTATATCTCCAAGATACATCTCTTTAGAGTTTTGATGCACTCATACCTTAATGTATTTGTCCGTCTTGAAAAATTAATCTCTGCCATTTACACCATCTCTTCCAAACACAAAAAACATCACTTTTTATATATATGGGGTGACTTCTATCAGATGACAGTTAGTCAAGTAAGCTATGATGTAGATCTATCTCAAAAAAAAGCTTCATATTAATGATGTAAACTGCGATCAGTCTCTCTTAAGAAAGAAATCACTCTCTGTTATTAGATCTGGCTGTTCTTATTTAATATGGCTTTATCTAAGTTGAAATTATGTTTTTTACAGAAAAAGATATGGCTGATCAAAAGCTAACAAGAATAGGCCTTGCTGGTCTTGCTGTTATGGGTCAAAACCTTGCCCTCAACATCGCAGAAAAAGGGTTCCCAATTTCTGTTTACAATCGTAGTACAAACAAAGTTGATGAAACTGTTGAGCGAGCTAAAAAAGAAGGCAACCTTCCACTTTACGGATTCCATGACCCCGAATCATTTGTCAATTCCATCCAAAAACCTCGTGTGATCATCATGCTGGTCAAAGCCGGTGCCCCTGTTGACCAAACAATCAAAACCTTATCTCAATACTTGGAAAAAGGCGATTGCATCATCGATGGTGGCAACGAATGGTACGAAAACACCGAAAGAAGAGAAAAAGCCATGGTGGAATTAGGCCTTCTCTACCTCGGAATGGGCGTTTCCGGTGGCGAAGAAGGCGCCAGAAACGGACCATCCATGATGCCCGGTGGCTCAATCGAAGCTTACAAATACATCGAAGACATCGTGCTCAAAGTAGCCGCTCAAGTACCCGACAGTGGTCCATGTGTCACATACATCGGGGAAGGCGGTTCCGGCAATTTCGTCAAAATGGTCCACAACGGAATCGAGTATGGCGACATGCAGCTGATTTCAGAAGCATACGACGTGTTGAAATCCGTTGGGAAACTCTCTAACGAGGAATTACACAAAGTGTTCTCGGAATGGAATCAAGGGGAGCTTCAAAGCTTCTTGATTGAAATCACCGCAGACATCTTCGGAATCAAGGACGACAAGGGAGACGGATATCTAGTCGACAAAGTGTTGGATAAAACAGGCATGAAAGGGACCGGAAAATGGACCGTCCAACAAGCGGCGGATCTATCAATCGCTGCCCCCACAATCGCTGCGTCTCTGGATTCGCGATTCCTGAGCGGATTAAAAGACGAACGTGTCGAAGCTGCTAAGATCTTTAAATCTGGTGGGTTCGGTGATATTTTGGAGACTCAAAATGTGGATAAAGAAAAATTGATAAACGATGTAAGGCAGGCTCTTTATGCTGCTAAGATATGTAGTTACGCACAGGGGATGAATTTGATACGTGCGAAAAGCATTGAAAAGGGGTGGGGTTTGAAGCTGGGTGAGTTGGCTAGAATCTGGAAAGGTGGGTGTATTATTCGAGCTATATTTTTGGACCGGATCAAACAGGCGTATGATAGAAACTCTGAACTTGCCAACCTGTTGGTGGACCCTGAGTTTGCGAAAGAAATGGTGGAGCGTCAGTCTGCTTGGAGGAGAGTTGTGTGTTTGGCTATTAATTCAGGGATTAGTACTCCGGGTATGTCTTCTAGCCTTGCGTATTTTGATACGTATAGAAGGGAGAGGTTGCCTGCTAATTTGGTGCAAGCTCAAAGAGATTACTTTGGGGCCCACACCTACGAGAGGACTGATGTCCCCGGTTCCTTTCACACCGAGTGGTTCAAACTCGCCAAGCAGATAAAAAAAAACTAGGTTTTTTTCAGGTAAAATCCAGTTTATAATAATAATAATAATTTTGTTTCCTCATTCCCAGAAATCCCTTTAGATTTGTCTTGGGTGAGAGAGAGCTTTTGTTGTTGTGTTGTTTTGTTTTGTTATTATCTCTTGAACCAAAATAATTAATATTATTTGGTATGATTTCTGTAATATTACTGCTATTGAAAATTTGTTCACATCTGACCCATTTTGTTTTGTGGTACTTGAGGTCATTTCTTCTAGGAGACTATGGTGTTGTTTGTTTTGGAAGTGGTTAAATGTCTTTTGTCTTTTTCCATGTTTGCGGAAGAAGACGTGCACTTGAGAAACGCCTACCCGCCAGAAGGGAAAAGTGCTCAAAAAGTACTTTTGTAGAAAAACAAATGAGGCCTATGTCATCAAATGTCCGTTCAAAACTGTCTTCCAATTTTGAACAAAGTTAAACCGATACAATAAGTAAGAGCTTTGTTAGGGGTGTTCACGGGGCGGTTCGGTTCGGATAGTAATAAAATTATGAACCGTGACCACGGGGCGGGTACCTCATGTGCGCTAACCGAACCCGAACCGAATTGGCCAAAAACCGAACCGAACCGAACCGTGTGAAGGCGGGTAACCACGGTTCGGTTCATGGATACCTGCTAAATAAAAAAAATCAAATTCAATCAAAACTACAAACACTATTTCGACCAATTTCTTTCTAAAAGTTAGTAACTCACGAAGCCAAAAAGAAAATATAAAGTTCAAATATCATATATTATAACTTATATAATAAATATAATAATAAAATTAATAAGAAAACAAAATGAATGTAGAACTGTGAAACTGGAAATTGTCAATTGAATTTTGTTTTGGCCACTGCGCCGTACCATAGGATCATTCGAAACAATTTTGATTAGTATTAAACAATGTTGATTATATATATATATATATATATATATATATATATATATATATATATATATATATATATATATAT